ACATTCCCAAATTTCAAATTAAAAAAACTAGTACCTAAACGTCCACACTGGGATCTTCACCGAAATCAAACCTAACTCACGAGAAAACCAATTTCTGTCGCTCGCGATTAAATTCTCCTCTCGGATATTTACCCAGACCGCTTCTCAATTTCACCGCAGAGCAGGCGAGAACGAACGAGCGCCGTAGAGAGAGAGATAGAGAGAGTTAGGTGGTCGTAATCGGTCGGATCGAGCTTTTCCTGCCGGGTGGCGCGCGCATTATCGCGATGTGCGCGACGACGGAAGCTCGTGCCGTTAAGTATAGCGTGTAGCGAAGCGCGGGGGACGAGAGAGAAAGAGAGAGGAGAGGAGAGAGAAAGTGTACGGGTGCCAGTGCTCCGCGGCGAAAGCCAATAAATTAATTGGATTGACCGCGGGTGGCTTTGCGCGGACAAATGGGATCAACGATTCTGCCGATCAGCAGGCGCGCGTGGCTCTGTCGATTCTTGCAGAGCCTTCCCAGCTCGGTATGCCTGCCTCTGCCCCTCTAACTCGTTCATTCGCTGGTGTACGGCGTTTAAAGGTGGCCCCCGTTAACTGGATCCAGGTATCCCGATGCGTTTACACGTGTTCGATATCGCTTAAAAACACGATCACACAACGTACAACTTCTCTTCGCTTTTACGTGTGCACGCACACAAACACACACGCGTCACACGTAACTTCGTAGACGTGTAGGTTGGCTTTGGTTGACGACTATACACGCGACAAATAAGATATGCGGTGTCGCCTTTGACGGCTTCGCCCCAACGACTAGCGCGTTAGACGCTGGCAAATATCACGCTAACCTGATAAGCACGAACTATCGATTCGGGTAAAGTCGCCGAGGGGTAGTTTCGTTTCATAAGCCGTCGCCCTGTGCCAGCTTTTATCGAGCTGGCCCGCGAACTTTACGCCTCGCGAAGGCGCGAGGAAATCGTTGTTACGTGCCGTGATTTAAGGGAGTGGCGAGGGGTTTTTATTTTCCTCTTCTCTTCTCTTCTTTCGTGATAAGGTTACTCCGAGGGGTTAGAATAAGTCGTGTGATGTGTTGTTTTTTTTTTTTTTTTCAAGCGTTGATATCACCCCGTGCTTTATACGTTGGCTGCAGTTAAAAGTGATTCTCGTTACTTTGTTTCTTTTTTCTTCTTTATCGTAGTTCTTGTTAGCGGGGTTTGTTTTAGCTGGTGTGCTCGGTGTTATTAGCGGAATAGCACGGAGAAAGTATAATTCGCTTCCGCTATTTGAGGATAATTGCTGGATCTAGAGATACCGCCCGCGGCTTTCGTGATTCGTAAATGATGTGTTAAACAATAATTACGGACCGCTGTATCTTGTATCTACCTTTTTCTGTCATTAAGGATTTCTTAATAAATGAAAGGTATTAGTATGTACACCGATGCAATCTGGCAGAATGCGGGAAATCCCTGCCGTTAAAAGCTGAATAATACGAAACTAATGGATAAAAATTAGATACGATCGGTGTAGTTTAACCCTGTACAAACCGATTTTTCTTCGTTGGAGAGGAGAAAAATTACGGTCGATTAGAATGTTACATTTTCATGAAAGAAACAAGAATTCAGTAGAATAAAACGTAAATGATTAAATACAATCGTTGTAAAAACGTCTATCAAAAATACACGCATCGGCGTTCCCCGCAAATCCTCCTACCACAAATTCCGGCGCACGAAATCTGCAAATAAAAAAAGGAAAAAAAAGAGAAGAAAAATCGCTGCGTGTAACCAAATTCCGCACGACGATTCTGTGAAACGCTAATTTCCTCACGTCGCGAGAGGGAAGCTTTCCAAAATATCCCGGTGCGCCGGTGAGTTTCCAGCTTTTCAAAATATCTCCAGTGCACGAACAACTTTTACGTTCGAACGTTTTGTATTAAAGCCCCGTGAGATACGGGGCGGCGAAACTTGTACAGAATAACGCGTATATACCTTGTCTCTCTCTTGCTCTCTCACCGGTAAAAGGACTCGTGTGCAACGAAGATGGAGAGAGAGAGAGAGAGAGAGTGAGTGAGAGAGACAGCGTGTAGAAAGAGCACACGGGTTATATAGTGGTGGTGTAGGTTGGGAAGGGTAGAAGAGGTGGAGGAGGAGGCGGTGGTGGTGGTGGAGGAGGTGGAGAACTATTTCAGCTTTTACGAGGCCGTCGTGGCGTATCCGTTTATGCGGGGTACGACGTGCAAAACGATCGATAACACGCTCGTAACGTTATTACCGACAGGTATACGGAGGTGGGTAGCAGCGGTACTACCGGTAATAATGTGGCTTTTACGGTCGTGGGCGCTGGTACAGCTGCCGCCAAAGTCGGTAAGCGTGGGTTTCCATCGGGCTCTCAAATGCCGGAGCAGCAACCGAATTTGCGCCACTATTTCCGCCGTTCCTCTGACACTCTCTCTCTTTCTCTCTTGCTTGACTCTCTTCTCCTCCACCCCCGTTGTTTCAGCCAAGGAAACGAATAAAAGCGGACACGAATGGGAAGGAAGAAGGAGATACATATGTGCATGTGTGTGTGTGTGTGTGTATGTAGGTGGCGTTGGATCCTTTATATCGATCTAATCTCGTCGAATCTCTTGTGTTTGGAGGGTGGAGGAGGGGTAAAACGATTTCGCGAGATAACCGAGAGATATCTTTTGGTCGGTGCAGAAAATCCGGCTGACGTGCTCGAAATGTCGTACCGACGACGCGACACGGTATCTCTTCCTTTGAATCGTAAGAAGGAGAGACTTGTTGGAAGCTCTCTCGAAAGTCGAGTCCGTTCTCGTATCCGGTTCGAGGGAACCATGTAAATTTCATGAAACGTCCCAGATACAAACGTCAGGTGTTGCGGATGTACCAAGTGTGTCAGAAATTCTGGATGTAATTTTAGAGCGTAAGAAATATTGCGTATGTATGACAAATCTAATTTTCACGAATTTTATTCGTTATCCTGATTTCTACTATTCACTCCTATTTTTGTTATTATATACACCCTGTGTGTTGTTCAATAATTCGTAGTACAATGAATTATTGCAATATTGCAAATTTTTACGAATTTTCTTTCCTATCGCCGTGTCTGCTATTCACTCTTATTTCGGTGTACACCCTGTATATTCTTAATCCTGCGAGGAACGCAGGAAGCGGGAGGATGCTTCCGAGTTTCTCCTCCGAGGTTCTCTCGTTTTCTCCGTTTTTATTTTACACTTCCTTCTTATTGAAAGCGGTGCAATTAATAACAGACTCGGGGAACGCTTCGACGCCGCTAATTAACGACAATTACTGTACCGATTATACAGGCCGGAATTCACTCGATTATCCCTCGAATAGGGATAGTAGCGGTAGTTGGTTGCATCTTTACACTCGACGAGGCAATATCTGCTCTACGGGCTTTTACGACGAGACTTCTCTCTCTCCTCAAGAAGTAGAATATTCACCGGCTATAGGAAACAATGTTTCTCGCGGTCGACAAGAGTCGATTTCCATCTAAAGTGTTTCCTGAATCCCTTTTTTCCTCGCAGTCGGTACTCTCTTATGTGCTGCCTTTACGAGCTGAAATTGTCAGGAGGACGGGGGGAGGAGAGGAGGGAAGAACGGTGCTCTGCAGCACGAGTCTCGGGGTACGCGCAGGTTTAAACTGGAGGCGTAATCAGCGAACGGAAGCCGAAGCAGCGGCACGATTTCCGCCGCTTATGCCGATTGCGTTCGTGTGCACGCCTCGAGGCGGCTGCTTACGTGGGCCGTGACAAGTGCATCCGGCACATCGAAGGATTACCGTTCGTTCCGTACGCAATCACGACGTCCGATTGCGCTCGGGAATCACTCGATTTCGCTCATAAGACAATCTGTCGCCAAATGCACCGGCGTTTTCCTTTCGAACCGCTCCAAGTTTACCACGATCATCCATAGAATCACCGATCAGGCGTGTCTCTCTCCACGTTTGTCAAACTCGTAACCACGTGCACACTCTTATCTTTTATCTTCACCTTATCTATTTTCTAATCCTCCTTCGCACTATTTTCTCCATTCCAATATGTACCAATAAATAATGTTCTTCGATGTTCAACAGAACAATATTGCTTATATTTTTATTGCAGCGTTGAGAAAGATAGAAAAGAAATTTCGGTTGTATTTCCGCGATTTTTAGAAAATCTAATTTCGACCAGATATTTCACTTTCTCCGCGTGTGGTGTAACACCGAACGCGGTTCGTTCGCTGCAAATTCGAGGCACGAGAAAATATTTCCCAGCCGTCGCTCCTACGTTTCCGCGTGGCGGTTGCACGGATGCAAACAAGATCAAACAGAGTCGTTTAAGGGTAACCTTTTAGTCCGCTGCTTCGAGGAGGGCTTCCCTTTTCTGTCCCGACGCCGACGCCGCCCCCCCGCGTCGCCCGACTGGCGTAGGAAAGTATATACATTATAGATCGGAAGTTCGAAACCATACTTGGGCCTGGTAGACCGAAAATAAACTGCTTTATGGGAATTTGATATGACGTCGATCGCTGCTGGTTGAGAAAGTTCGCCTATTTAATTACAACTTTCGTTAGAGCATCGCTCTCTTTTCAACTGGAAACTTGTTTAAGCCAATACTCCTAGTAACATACTATTTCGTCTTTTTCGTTTTTTATTAATTAATACTCTTCGCAAAGTATATAGACTAGATTTTACTCCACCCTCGGGTAATGAAATGCAAATGAAGCGAGCAGTTAAAAGATTTAACGATACCGCGGAACAACTTTCGAACCATTGTTCTACACGGTAGAACCGAATGGTATTTAACTTCATCTAGTGGTACAGTTAAAGGGTAATTATACCCGGTTTTCCCTGTCATATTACAAAGTGTGTAACAATGACGGGAGTGGCCGGACAAAACGTGATTAACGTGTGTGAAAATGTTCTTTTTCCTCGTCATTTTGTGTAAAAGAATTTGAAAAACTGTTTTCGATCGAACGAAGAATGAAAACTGACGTTGTCGTTTTGTTTCGATGTTTCAGGGTCCACCACAGCCTAACCAGCCGTATAAATTCTCGATCGGCGAGTTGTGCGATCGTATCAAGGAGGACTTCAACTTTCTTCAGACGCAGTATCACAGGTAGATCTTTAGTTTCAACGTTCGTAAATCAAACCCGAGCCTTTTTCTCCCCCTCTCCCTCTTTTCTCGAGAGGAACTCCGCCGCGGTTGGGAAACGAAGTGTGAGATTTTGTGAAACGGTTAGGCACAGGGAGGAGGGAAATTTAAATTGAACGATCGCGGAGAGAGAAAAATGTCGTTATTCAATTAAAGTTGCGAATCGAACTCGTTTTCACGGTTGGACTTTTTCTTCGGCGGATATCTGATCGCCGCGAGACACGCAATATCATTTGTAATTATTATTCGAGCGGACTGGCTGGCTGGCTCGTTGTCAAGAAAAGGTAGAAATTATATCTTCGGTATGGGAATAATGATACAGTTGTCGGCGGTGAATTAAGTGAAAATGTCGGGTTATAAATGTAGCAACGAGCTGCTCCGTAGGAATTTAATCTTTAATATTTACCACGTCCACGGTAATAAGCTACAATGTGTGCTGTGTAATTTTTGTATAAATTCCACTCTGGTTTGCACATCGACGAGACCGAAGCAATGGAAAACGTATATATGTATAAATAATTATAAACGATACTGTACTTTCTATATTGAAAAATGGAAAACAGAGAAAATAAAGCTGAAACACACAGTTATTGGAGTGAAAATGAAAAATTCCACGCGTACCGCTAATTAATACGTTTTTGATTAAATGATAAAAATGTTGGAAGAAAAATAAATGGAATATTGAAATTCCGCTGGTAAGCGTCCCCCTCCGTTTTCGTTCTCACGGTTATATTATATTTCACAATTGTTGTATTTTTCGTGACAACCGGCTGACAAAACGGTATTTATCCAGTGACGGTAATTAATCGAGTAAAGTCGATTCCACAAGCGTACGCCGCCGGATCTTATCTCGGAAATGTTTGCGCGAACGTCGTGTCGGCGCGTAGGCGAAGCGAACAGAGACAAACCTGACAGATGTAGGCAGAGAATTGTTTGTCCGAGCGGAAGCTATGCACACTGAAGTATGCACATAGCCTGGAGGACGAGCAGGCCTCTCGGTTTCGATTCTATGCACGCGTGTTACGCGTCTGCGAGCCATTCAGCTTCTTCGCGGATCGTCCCGTAACATTTTCTTTCCGACACGCCTGCGTCTCTTTCTCTCTCGAAGACATACTTGTTATGCAACAGACGTGTGTAAAAAAATATGATTTCGCCTGCGTACGAAGAAGATTTTCAGTATTGAGTCATATTCGACTCGACATCCGCCATTCGCTATGCAAGGATTAGTGGAAAAAAAAAAATTTGCATATGTACAAAAGTGTCTTAATAATTTGTGCAATTTGAAGTAAGTGTGAAGTGTTGAAGAAATAATCGAGCACGATTAGGAAAATAACGATATAATTGGAGAGGCGAAGAAAAATCCAGCTGGTACGATGACAAGTCTGGAAACAAGAATTTCCACGAACCTGATCGAATCCTTGTTCCGCAGCTTTCCATAAAGTCCACCCGTTACGTTCCACACGGCCGGCCATACGAAATAAATAACGTCGTAAAAACGTAACAAGTATAGGAATATAGAGGGTAATCGTGCGATACGATCGCGCACGCAACCGAACGAACGAGCAAGCAACCAAGCAGCGGAGAGAAAAGTTGCTCGATAAGGGAACTTTCTTCGGGGCGAAGCGTCCGTTTTCACCGTATGCCCGAGCGATCTTTATCGAGCGGCCTGACACGTTAATTTATGTCCCGACCCTTTAACGTGTTAATTCGCGACGTCACGTGCCGCACGATTTCCACCGACGACGGAAACTTAAATTGCTGTTTCGTGTCACAGCGACACGGGGAACAGACACACAGAGGGTATAGGAGCCGGGAGAGTGAAGAGAGGACGAGAGTGTGTGTGAGAGAGAGAGAGAGGGGGAGTGCCCCTGGGGCTGTGTGCATACATGCATAAATATGTGCGAGACGTACGTGAGCCGCGTGCGACATTTCGACGCGCTCATGCCACCAGTGTGTACAGGACAGTCAGAAAGTAGCCAATTTCGCACTCGGTGCACACCAACTCTTCCGGAGAGTGCTCGATTTTTCCACACCCCTTCCCTCTCCGCCCTCCTCCGTTGGGACCTCTCTCTACGGCAGCGCGTTGCTGGTAGCGCACAACGTGAGCCGAGAATGAAAATGTTTGCCGCGGGAACGCGTAGTCGTGACTAACGATCGTAACACTTTCCGCTGCAACTCTTTCCGTTTGATCGTGTTCGACCACGCGCGCCACAGCACCCTGAGGAACTTTTGCTCTCGATCGGCCCGCGCCACGTTCGCCGGCCCCGTTTTCGACTACACGTTTAACGTGTTTCGATGTTTATTTAGGATCGAATTTTTTTTTATTTTTATTCTCTTTGGGAGGCGTGGAATATTTTACTTTAGTAGATTCCAGTCAAATTTCAAGTACATGGATACGTTTGTCAAGCTTTTTTGACTACCGAAACGCTGGACTGTCATGGCGGCCTCCTTAGCGTCGCGCGGTTTCCATGACAACGAAGGCACGCCCCGCGAAAGAGCGAGTGGAGGGGGAAGCAGGCGCTTGAGGGGCCCCTACGCTGTACAGCACTGAGCTAACTCGACTTTTGTCGCATTAACAATGCTCGGCTAACGAGCGGTTCTAATCGAAAAATTCCATCGGCCAACAGGTTGATAAATATAAATACGTAATTACGTCTCCCCCTTGGTATTATATCCACAATGTAGTCACGCGAAGTGTATCAGATTGAATTAATTCGAAGAAGTTTGGTCCGGTCGAGTCGAGTCGGATCAGATTGTGTCAAAGTTGGATCAAGTCGGATCATACTGGATCCAGTTGGATCTCTACATATACGATATCCTTGTCGCTTTCAATCAAAGAATAATTTCATTTTTTCCCGTTCAATTATTCCCGAGTTGGATTTCATTCGAAACCGGATTCTCTTTGAATTATTTCATACACTTTGCGTACGTGAATATTATACATACTTGCGAAACAACCTAATTATTCTGCTATGAATCTGAATAAAAAGAATATCGATGAAAATACTCGATTTACCCGATCTCCGGCGTTATTTGCATACACATTTCTATATAAAAAATAGGAAGAAGAGAAAAACAGGTAACCATGGAATAACATACATAAACGAGTGCACACAAATTTTTTTCTCCCCCCCTCTCTCTCTGTCTCTGTTTAGCTCGGTGATTTATTTTCGACAGTTTCGATCGTGCGGCATATAACAAATGCCGCGTGTTCGCGCGAACACCGCCGACTAGAAAGATTACATAAGCTCTCGCGGCGGGAGAGAATTTTCCGTGCAAACAGCGGCGATCGCACGGAATAATTCATTTTATGTCTGTATTATACGCTCGATGATGCGGAAAGTGGCGGGGCCGCGTTAGTTTTATTATCAAACGCGGTACGCTTGGATAAATGCTTTCGCGAATTCGATTCCCCGCCGCCGCCACACCAGAGAGAACCGGTAGCTTGGCAAAAGGGGCGTTGGAGGGAGGTGGAAAGTGAGTGTGTGTGCGTTTGTGTGGGAGGGGTGAGCTATAAATTTGCCGTTTACAAATTGAGCGAACCGTCCCCTCCCCCCGGGAACCACCGGAGAATTTCGCGGCGCAATGAGGAACAGGTGCGAGTTTCCGCGTATTTATGTCTCAAAAACGTTCACCAGCGAAGATATGGAAGGGAAAGGGAAGGCAGGAGAGACTCGATAAGACGGCTTGTAAATCGTTGCGTCGCGTCAATCTGAAATAATTAATGGGCTTCACGAGGGCCAGTGGCGCAACCAGAATTATCGTTTGACCGATCGTTAATATCACGCTAATTTATCGCGTCGATGCCGAGACCCGGGATCCGTGTAACGCTACTTTTCTCGCTTTTTCTCCTCATCCTTGTACGGCCACTGAAAATGTGTTAACGATTATCTGAATATATTCAGCTGTGTACCGGCGTAACTGGTAGTCGAAAATTGGACGGTTTTTAAAGAATTTCCTCTTTCCGATAGTGTATTATATGAAATTGGACGGCCTTTTAAAATGTTCGTTAAATCGTAATCTTGCGTCACTGAGAGACACATTTTTCGGATATTATATTTTCACTGCTGCGAGGAGATAGAGTATACTCTAGTTAATAAATCTGCGCGTGAAGAGGAGTGTATAGTCGATCGAAGAAATATAGCGAGGTCGTAAATTGAAGTATTAAGCAGCGTACAGATTGACGCAGCGATACGAAGATTCACGCACGTTATACTAAGTTTTTCGATTGGAGCTGAATCGAAGCTAAGACACGCCAGCAGATTTCGAGCCTCTTATCTTCTCAGACTTGTGTCGATTCGCTCGTCGATATGCTCGGTACACGTAAATTTCGACGCCCGAGCAAACTTACCAGCTAGCCATATTTCTTCCACCGACTATACGCGCGTCTCGTTCGAGAGATATCGGGCTTAGAGATCGTCGATATCGACGAACAGAGCCCGGAAGGGGGGCTACTTTACGCGACGACGACGACGACGACGACTGTCCTGTACACGCGCGATATAATACCGTCTGTCGATCACAGTTCGCGACGCGCCACTATAGGTCCCACAGGCTGGAACGGCAAAGGTCGAAGCACGCCAGTCATTCGACGGACTTTCGCTTCCGTGATTCCAGAATCGAACGGAGAACAATAATTGCCTATCAATTTCCATCGACGGGGAGGCCTCTCTTTCTCTGCTCTACGGGTTTGCGCGTTCAATTTCTCTCGAACGCGATGCCACTGCAAGATTAGTTAATCGCCTTAGACCTTTTTTCCTTCCGTCGAACCTGTCCTATTCAATTACCGGGTAACGAATGAAAATTGCCCTCGCGGACTGTTTCCCCTTATCGAATCGTTTCCGCGACTGATAATTAGGTATTCGATGCGCGATATATCGCGAATTTGATGCTTCCTCGGAATCGTAAACGACTATTTACCGCTGTGAAAATATAGCGCCTTGTGTCAGCGTTAACCCTGGTATTTATTTCTTCCTCCGACTGTACACTTAAGATTTTTGGGTCTTTTTTGACCCGAAAAGAGATTTTTGAAAGAAAGTCGAAGAAGACCAGCACGCTGTATTACGAACCTAGACAATAAACTTTTAGTGCAACGTTGAAGGAACATAAACTTGATAGCAGCAAAAGTTATTTTAAAAAAATAAGAAGAGGCTGGGTCAAAAATGACCCGAAGACCGTACTAAGCTTAATAGGACATTCTTTCACCGCTAATAAGAGACTATCGTTATCTGGAACAGTCTGTATAAATACAGGCAGAGATGGGAAATAGTTTTTAGCGCGAGTCGCGTGTTTTACGAGAACCAGCAGCTATGGCTTATTATTCTCCCGTTCGACTGTGCGCGGCACGAGACCCCCACGGTCGTTCTTCTTATTCCATTCGTTGTCACGAATTAGCCGACGTACTTATTTCCCCGCTTTTCCTTTCTCTCCTTCCTTCGGACGTAATAATTTTTCTCGTTGGTCCCATTGTCGGTGGGGAACGCGAACGCGCGCGCGTTTTAATTTAATGTCGCGACTACGACGTCAACGTACGAAGGGACAAACAAAGGCTCCCTCCGTGTTCTCGAGGGCTGCTGGTGGATATTAATGCTATGTTCTTGTGTTCCCTTCTGCAGCTTTAAATTGGAGTGCAAGAAACTGGCCGGTGAAAGAAAAGAAAAAAAAAAGAGAAATAGAGAGATAACAGAGAGAGGCATTATGCGATGGTAAGCCCATGAGAGGGAAAAAGTGAAAGAAAAAGGGATAGAAGAATAAAGAATACGTTTATCGTGCGGTACAACACACCACCGTCATCGTCATCCACCCGTCTTTTCCCAGATTACAGAAAACGCGTCCCCATCTCGTTCTCCCCGTCCCCCGCTTCGATATTACTTCACTCAGCCCTGGTTCGACTCGTCGAATGAATTCTATATTGCGTAATTAATTCGTTACGTCTGGCGGAATATTTAAATCGCGACGACCGATCGAAATAAATTTCATTCTTCGTTTATTCCGGCCAGGTCCGGTTATTTCAATTTTTATCGTTTACAGCGAGCGAAACCGTCGGGGGGAGGAGGGTATAGATTCGTGGCAATCGCTTCATTCCCTCGCCAATCCTATTTTTCTTTCTCTCTCTTTAATACGCGGTAATGCGGCTTGTTAAATGATAATACCGCCGCTTTCCATTCGCGTCGACGATGACCGGGCAAAAACAGGCGCGTAGTTGCGCGTCGCGGATATATCCGAACCGACGAGCCCGGCGAAGAAAAATACCGTAAAACATAATTTTTGCGTAATTGGTGTTATAACACAGGGAAAACCGAGGAGAATTATCTCGATGTCCGTGCTGCTGCTGTCCGTTCGTAAAATGCTAGGAACACGGGTGGAAACGCGTACCGCATAAACGCGCCAGTACACACGTATACAAATGTACGCGTACGTACCGGGTGTCGCGTTTCGACTCAGTCCACGTGAATATTTTGCAAAAGTGTCGCGATAAGGCGTAATCGTTCGGATAAAATTGGACGAATAATTAAAGAAAAAAGAGAAGTGCAACGCGATATTTTAGTGTAGAAGTCGTGTGAAAGTTGCGTTTACTCTCGTAAAAGTAAAACCGTGTATTCTTTCGTCCTTCATTTTTTTTTAAATTTTTCTATATTCATCCGAAATATTTTTCCGTACGATCAATTATTTCCCGAATTCTCACGCGGATAATCGGTTCAAACGCGACACCCTGTACGTACCGTCACACGCACGAGCGAATACCGCGAGCACGAACACACGCGGAAGGTTTTGCATACGGTGTTACCCAGTGCACTCAACTATTACGAGCACATATTTATTATACGGAATGAAGGGGAAGGGGTGCAATTTTGTAGGAAGGCGCGCGCGTCGGACCCGAGTCTATTTTCCTGTCAGAGGTCGGCAAACAAAAATATGACGCGGTCCTGTTGTCGTTAAAAAATTACTTCCGCCGTGAACGGGAACCTTATATGCGGTCGCACGCGTAGTTCCACGCGATGTATTGTTGCGCCACGCGGGATCAATGGAAATTAATTTTCCATTTAACGCTCTATTATTCCAGCAAGCGCAATACCGCCCTCGTGCCACCGTACCGCTATTGATACGGATCGACTCGCGCCGATGAAAAACCAACGTTCGTCCACCCTCTCTCTGCCGTAGCTCGTTTTCGATCGCGAATTGAATTTTTTCACCCTCGTCGATTTCCTCGAATCTCCGCGAAAATAACATGTTTTTGGTATTTTTCATGGAGGAAAGTAGAAGTTTTTGTCTTAACCCTATAGACTACTTTGTCGAGTTTGACTCGACATCAGTTTTATTCGCAGGTATGAACGAGGTAGTTTTTAAATTGCCAGTTTGAATATGTATTATATTTTGCAATATTTTTTCTACCTTGGTGAGCGATAGGTGTTTGGAAGCGACGTGGTGCAAATGATTACTCGCCAAGTGGGTAACGAAAATATATTTATTTAAACGTAATGCTTAAATTTCAAATGTAAACTACATGATGCACGTGCAGAGAAGGTCTAGGACAAAAGGCCTCGTGCCTTTTTCGGGGCTCCCTTAACACGTTCGTCGCCACGTCACCCAGACATGGGTGACGTTCTTCTTCGTCAAGTTAAATAGGATTTTACAAGTAATTTATAAAAATCCCATTTGTAACACAAGAATTTAATGGAATATCACACTATATTATACTATACATTAATTTATATTTAAAATAAAATACAACATTATACTACGTAGCATGGTATTCGTTAAAACAGTTGGAACACATTTCTGGTGATTTTGGACAATTGGGACAATATGTTGTCGTCTTTTTTACATTTTTTCTCGCTTCCTGGCGTTCGAGAATTTGTCTCTCCTTCTGGTAACATAGAACGCAAATTCCAGCTAATCGCTCTGTTTACGTTCTTGCGCTAAAGGCCTCGTGCCTTTTTCGGGGCTCCCTTAAGTAGGCCCTTTTCCCTGGGAAAGTCCCAGGAAGTTGGGGCGCGGGCCTACATTGCCGAGGCAATACTCTTGTCCTCGGGGACGAAGAAACTCGGAGATGTTTGGAAAAACATCTCTCGATTCTTCGCCTCGAGGGCCAAGAGTCGCCAGGCCTAAGTGCGTGGCCCCCCCGTGGCGGTCGCCACAGGTGCACATAGAATATGACTCTTAATGCTGTTTTCAATATAATTAGTAAAAAAAATTGTTTAAATTGCTTCCTGTCAACCAAATGTCTCTGAAGTGCATTTCAAATCAAATTCTTAAGATAATAGGGAGTTATTGAAAAGGAAATTTAAAAAGAAATATGGAGTTCAAAGGGTTAACCTCTTCAGGGACATTGACACACGTGTATAGTCGGGGCCACGATATAGCGAGGTCGTAAAATCGGTTAGGCGTCAAAGTAAACATGTTTTAGCTGCCGGGACCCGAAAATTGACAGAGATACGAGCAGATAAGTACTTGAAACCATGGTCAGGACCGTACAAAGAATTCTTCTATCCAGCGAAAGTCAAACTGATTCTAATATATTTACTGAAAATTGAGTTCAGCTAGGACAATTTAGGGTTTTTTTCTTCTGGGAAAAGCCGCATTTGGAAGTACGGTTACAAGATGCAGATAGAAAATGCAAAAGGATTGTGTAGCTTTAATATTAACATATTTTCCATTTGTAAATGAAATACCATTTTCTACTTGAAGTACCAAATCATATGCTACCATTCGTTTATTGTTGGAACCCTCAAACAGACTGCAACACACGGCCTTGAGTGCCGCAACATCAATCGATGCCGATTCTTGAGAGTTTAATTTACGACCTCGCTATATCGTGGCCTTAACTATACGTTTAGTGTTCTTTCAAAATTTCAGTATTTGTGATAGAGAAAATATGGAAAACAGTCTCCAGACAAGGAAAGCAATTTAACACGAATATAACTGTAACTGCATAAAAAACTGGATCAGTTTTTTCTAACTTTAAAAAATCGTTCCCGAAGAGTTGCGTTAACCTTTCTGTCGACAATCAAGTACCCATTTCTGTATTTCCTCTAACAATTTTTTACGTTCTCGTGAAAGTATCGTAAAACCGTTCGTTTTATCGAATCCTCATTTTCCGGACATTTTTACCGCCGACACATATGTCCAAACTAAAAATTTCAAATATCAAAGCTTAAAACAGCCGTGAACATTTTGCTCGCCAGCACGTGGGTTAAATCTGACAGCAACGAAAAAACTTAGTAAGTCGTGTAAAGTTGGGCGAACAATCGTTACCGGTGCATCGATTTCCCCCTTGGTGTTCAATCGAACGAATCAAATTCCTACGCGATTCCACGGGAACATTCGCGTAATTGCACGCTGTTTCCGATAGTTTTGATACGCCGTTCAGAAGGTTGCATCGCGACTCACGCGATCTCACGTTGTACAAGTGGTGTATAAGTCACCGCGTAACAACAATTATATCGACGTTTGTGTGTGCTTTTTAACCGCTCGCCTCTGTGCACACACGAACTCTCTGCGATATCGTCCGATTAAGGGACGTGACCGAGGCGGAAAATCGGTCTCTCCGAGGAGGAAAGAAGGGTGAAAAACGGGAGAGAGAGAGAGAGAAAGAAAGAAGGAAATAAAATGAAAATAAAACCGG